AGATGAAAAGCCCAGGAAGATGGAAAGCAGGAGGTAGAACATAAAGTGTATCACTTGTGTTTCAAAACATCCTTCAAACTTTTTCTTGCTCCAAACTAACAGTCATAGATAACCAGAGTGACAGAGGCCTCAAATGCTGCTCAGTCCTCCTTGACCTTTCACAGCACAGCACGCATAGGATTGATGGTATTCTGAGATTCATCGCAATAAACTGACAAGGCTGCTCCTAGCCAGAGGCAACCCACTCTGGAAGCATCTCTACTGTATCCCAGTCTGATCCATACCTTTGTTATAACACTTAGCATACTGCACTGGGACATTGCCTGTCTTCTCTGTTGTCAAAGCAAAAATTGCACTTGACAAAGTTAAAAAGGTTGTGCCTGGTTCTTGCCAAATGTATGTGACACAGTAACAAAGGACCACACTTGGTACAGATGCTAAGAAAAGCACCAGCTTGGAGTGTGCCCAGCTGTGGGCACTGCTGCCGCCTATAGGAGGCTGCCCTCAGTGCATTCTTCTCCTGGGGTTCCTAGGCCAAGTTAGGAACAGGGAAGGGGCAGAGAATTTCCCAACACTGCTCTTCTGCTTCTAGCAAATAAGTCCATCTCCCTCCTCCTTCCACGCTGCTCACTCTCCAGAGGCAAAGTTTAGAGAAACTTCTAGATGCTGTGGATTTTTGTGGCCCCAAGAAAACTGAATTCAAGACAAGCTTCTATAGTGAAAAAGCTGTCAGGGGGGAGTAGTTCTATAAAGTCAGATTCAAGCTGTAAGATGAAAATAGATATTTTTCTCATATGTTTTGAATTGCTAAAATGAAAGCATAGGAGAGAATTTAAAACAAACAAACAAAAACCCTGACCTGCTGGAATCTGTAGTCTGGCCTTGACCTGCCTCCCACGTGCCCATCACTCCTGGGCCTTGCTGCACACCAGGCTGTGCTCCAGAAACCATGACTTCTCCCGTTCCCTGAGTGCCCCTTGCTCCTTCCTGCCACAGGTCTCTTCATATGTGCTTTCTCCACCCGGAACCCTCTTCTCTCTCTTTCCTCAACCACCACCCTCTCCCCCTTTGCCCAGCTAACTTCTCTAGATCCTTCACATCTCAGTTTAAACTTTGCTTTCTCTAGTCACCTTCCCTGATCTTTCTGACCAGCTCAACACTCTATTAGAGATACTCTCCCTCCACACACTTCCAGTTACCACTTTGCATTTCTTCATGTGTTTTCATGATCAACACTCTCCTCCCCTACCAAACTGGAAGCTCTGTGATGGCAGAGACCTGTTCTCTTTAACTCCCCATTATTCCCCCAGCCCCACCCTACATGGTGCCTGTCATATGGCAGGTGCTTGATAAATAGTTCATGATTTATTTAATGAGGGAATGAATGAACCTGTTGATTTCATTCACCTTAGTCTCCCTTGGATTGCCTTTCTCAAAACAGTTAACAGTAGTTTGAAAAAGTCTTCTGATAAAGAATGCCACTCTGTATTTTTAACTGAATAGGTAGGAAGAGATCATAAAGCTCATCTAGGGCATTGACAAAATGAAGGTACAATCAATGACCAAAATCATCCCTCTGCTTTTCCTCCTAGGGCTTTAGGAAAAGAAGAAAACCTAGCACCAAGGGTCTCTATCAGTGTGTCAGAGGCCACACCTGATGCTTTTTATTTTAGGGCCATTTCCAGAGCTGGTTATGAATGATTTTATTTGATAAAACAGAATTCATCCAATCTCTAGATGGACCCTCAATCTCTAGATGTTTTAATGGTACCATGATCTTACCCAAAAGTCGTCACTCTGAGGTCTTAGTGGTATGTTGGTGAAAAAATATCATAATTAAATTGGAATGTTTTATATAATTTTTATATACAGTTAAAATTGCCTTTAAAAAAGGTAAGTCTGGTATTGTGGTCATTCTAAGACCATTTACCAAAATTATCCCGTACTGGAGACTGGAGTATGAGGTGTCCTGGGCACTCTGTAGCATTTAGTGTTTGATGAGCAACAATATGAATGATAAGGTAATTTTAGGAAGTGGCAGAAAACTTGGATCCACTTGGAAGAGAGCCAGGAAACTCAATAAATGATTATTGACTATTTCAGAAAAGATAGTTCTAAATTATTTTAAATACATTTTTAAAAAACTGTATTACACCTTAAAATAATCCACCCCCCCATTTTGTTTGTTTCTTTGTTTGTTTTGGCAATGAAGTGAGAAAAGATGCGAAGGACAGCCCGAAGTGCTTATAGCCGTAAAAAGTGGACTAGCTGATGTCTTTTCTTGAACTAAATTGGAAGTAGTCAACCATTTCTCACTCTAAGAAAATCACAGATTTTTAGAATCACCTGTAAGGACATTGGATACCTAGGAGACTTGAGGCGCTGTCGTGCCAGAGCCTGAAATTTATTCTTGAAAAGCTTTTGGCTCTTGGAAAGGGTTCAGATAGATTACAAGAGTATCTTCTGCTGGTTCTAAAGTCAAGGTCATATTAACAAGTAATTGGAAATATTTGAAGGTTACTGTGAATGGTATCTAATTGTGTCTAGGTGTTTAGAGTTTGTTTCACCCCAATTTTTTATTATGATTAGTAAATATAAACTCTTTTTAAAAAGTTCTTTTTAAGAGAAATTCATTATGGAGGGCAAAAACATCCTATGTTCCTTTTGTCTCAGTTAACCTCACTGTGGAAGTTTAGCTTTTCACACCACAAGTTTACTCACATTGCAGCATAATGCCTCACAAGGAAATAAATTGCCTCTGGAGAGTAAGGTTGCACAGGGTGCTGCGAAGGGGGATCAGATATTGCCAAGTCAGGTAAGAAACACAGAGGCCCTAGAAAGTAGATTCGAAAGGAATTTTGTTCCATGGTATTCATTTCATTTGGGGCCCTTGGCCTGGGGGCTATGAAGAATGGCCAGAAAAAACACCTGATCTTTGTGACAGTGTGCTGACCTCTGGATGGGAGGGTTGATTTCACTGGAGCCAACAAGATAGGTGCCCACAGGGCAGCGTACACAGTAGGCCCTCTAGCAGGAGGAATGGGAATACAACAGGTTCTGTAGGTAGAGTGCTTGTTCACTCTTCTTGCTTGACCTATCAGTAACTAGCCCTTTACCCACGTCACCATGGCTAGCAGCTTAAAACTCAAAGTAAACTTGGAAATTAGCTTTTAGAGGTAAAAACCAAGACCCAGAAAATGTAAGACTCTCCCCAACATATTTCTGTATTTATGTTCAAATGTCACTGTGGGACTTGATAGCACTTCACTGATGTGAAGACCTGAGTGAAGGGCTAATGGTACTAAATATGTGTGCTAACTGTGCGTCCATTCAGCTCTCTGACTGGAACAGCTCTCGGAGACAAAGACAGACAGTAGCAGCCCTCCTGAAAGTGGCAGCCTAACCTGAGTTTCCGTTGCACTATCAGGAGCAAAGCATTTGCAAGTGGGAATTCAGTGTTGGGGCTGTTGGGACTCAAAGGAACCATCTGTGGGGTGCAGATTGCCCTGGGAAATGGAAGCTAATCTGACAGAGTGAATGGTGTTGACATTGAGCATGCTTCTTTTTTTTTTTTTTACTTATGTTAATTAAATCTTAAAAGAAAAATTTTCCAGGAATAGTTCACCTATAGATGACAAAAAGTTCTTGGCTCCAGATACAGCTCCTTAAAGGGTGCATCTTGCTGAATTGCTGCCTAGAGTGCTATAATGTACACTCTCATTTCAGTGTACTGCCTCTTCATCTCCTATATTTTATGTAACACAACTCCTACAGAGAAGAGAATATCCTGATTGGAAAAGGATGGGGAGAGGGGGACAGTATGGGAAGACGTCAGTGGAAAATCCACTGTGTTCCTTCCTGTAAATTAATCCAGAGTCCCACGGGGACAGCTCCCTTCCAGAGCTCACCCAGATGATCTACACTGAATATGACATTTCCAGCCTCCATGGACAGGAGATCCAGTTCACTTGTTCTCTTGCCCTCAGCCAGAAGGAGGAGTGTGGTGCCCGCATCCTTAAGGCCTCCCTCAGGGAGCCCTCAGCATCATCAATCAGCTTCTTCCGTGGGGACCCTATTGACACCTACAGCACTTCTGTTTAAAATAGAAAAAGGCCACTCTGGGCTACAGGCCTGAGCCCTATTTCTGCATAAAGGGAAGAGCTCTCAATTTTTCTTTTCTACTTTTGTTAGTTAGGCAAACAAACAACACTTCCAAGCCTCGGTGCAAACTACTGGACCCATTTTCACAGCTGTGAGGTAATAAAAACACGAAGCTCTCACTATTCTATACCATAGCGCTGTTTCGTGGCTGAGAATACCTTCTGTTTTCACAGTGGAGGGAAGAGCTACTATGAGCAGCCTCATTGTACACAGAGAAGTCCCCTTTCTTAGTGCATAATCCCATACTGAGGGGAGACAGCTAGCTGCTCTCTGGGGACCTACATGTAGTTCTCAATACTGGGACATGTGCCTGGGTCCCTCCTAGCTCCTGTTCCAACCTCCCAGCACTAGAGACTTCCCAATCCTTGCCACCCTTTGCCCTGGCCCCTGCCCTGCACACTGTCAAACAGACACACTCATGGGCGTCCCTGGCTCCAAGCAGATCTAGATCTCAAGGTAGCATAATTATGCCTTTTTTTCCCTTACTATACTAAACTTTCATTTCTTTCTTTTCTATGTGCGGAGCTCCCTTTGAAGTAAGAGATCTTTTGTAGCAGAGATATAGCTTGATCTCTCTGATTTGAGCAGTATCGTGACGTTCCAATGTAGAATATTAAAGTTAATAGCTTTATTTTTAAGCTCCCTACTTGCAAGGGACTAAAATCGCTTGCATTAAAATAGACGTAAGAATTTGTAGCCTCATACTTTGGTTTGGGGGAAGAAGATTGGTTATAAAACCGTTCTGAAGTTTCTGTTGATGAATTCATTTCTTTCCCATTATTAAAATGTGAATGTTGAATTTAAACTCCAATTTAACACAATTTTCACTCTTTCTGCAGCTCCTGAAATTCTTCGAGGCTGCGCCTATGGACCTGAGGTGGACATGTGGTCTGTAGGGATAATCACCTACATCCTGTAAGTGAGGAGAAGCAATCTGGATGCAGACTGTTGCCTCTGCTGTAATATTTTGTAGGCACTCATAGTCCTCATATAAAGCAAGATTACTTTTTGATTTTTGTGATTTTCTATGACATACTAAATGTAGTTAGTGATAGAATTTTCTGAAAATGAGCACTGCATTTTATTTCGTAATTTTCTTGGGCCAGAACTTCTGTCCAGGGCTTTTCTGTGTCTCATTCTGCTCTGCAGTATATAGCAGATTGGGGGAACAATTCATTATTTGATGATAGTGATGAATGTAAAACTCAATCTACCTATTAAACTTGCTCTTATTTTATTTATTTGCATCTCATCAAAATAATTAAAGTATTAGATCTTTTTAAAGGGCAAATGGCTATTTAGTCTCTTACACAATCCCAAACTGGTACATTCCTTAACAGGAATGTTTGAAATGCATTTTGGTTATCAATTTTCTTTCCCATCTCTGTTAGGTTCTCAAAAACCTTGAATTTAACATCCTAAACTCAGAGAAAGCTTTTCTCTGGTAGGAAAAAAAAATGGGCTAAATCTCTTACTCTCTGGTATTCCCAACCCCATTCCTGAGCTCCTGTACTACTAATAAACAAGGAGTTTCAGGAAATTTGCCAAAGAGATGATGGAATTGCAGACGAATACGAGGGAAATCGGCAAGAACGATGCAAGAGTGTCGAGGGAGGAAGAATGCTGTAGAACAGCTACGAAAGCAAGATATCAATGAGTTCCAGATTTTAATTCAAAACAAGTAGATTTGGTTGCCATTTGGAGGATACTGCAGAGTTAATTGTTGGAACCTGTAATATTCAAATCTGTAAAAAGATTTTGGAGGGTGTGAAAGATAAACACACACATGGATAAAGAGAACAGATTAGTGGTTACCAGAGGGGAAGGCGTTGGAAGGTGGGCGAAAGTGGTAAAGAGGCACATATATATGGTGACGGATAAAAATTAGACTAGTGGTGGTGAGCATGATGCAATCTATACAGAAGCTGATAAATAATAATGTACACCTGAAATTACACAATGCTATAAACCATTATGACCCCAATAAAATAGTTGGAAAAAAAAAAAAGTGTATTAGTCTGCTTGGGCTACCATAACAAAACAACACAGACTGAGTGGCTGAAACAACAGAAAGTTATTTCTCACAGTTCTGGAGGCTGGAAGTCCAAGATCAAGTGCTAGTAGGTCCGGTTCTGGTGAGAGCTTGCTTCCTGGCTTGCAGACAGCTGCCTTCGCAGTGTGTCCTCACATGGCAGAGAGAAGAAGCAAGCTCTTTGGGGTCTCTTCTTATAAGGGCACTAATCTCATCATGAGGTCCCACCCTCATGACCTCATCTAACCCTAATTACTTCCCAAAGGCCCCATGTCCAAATGCCATCACATTGGAAGGGTTAAGGCTTCAACATGTGAATTTGGGGGGAAACAATTCAGTCCACAGCAGAAAGAGGTTTTTTGTTTTTGTTTTTGTTAATTTAATAGTGATCTTAGAAAGTACAGTGTCTAGGTAACATGGGCTAGGAAGGGGGTAACTAGGGTAGGACCCCCAAGCATGTTAGTCAACTCTAAGTTCACGTGGGTATACACACTGGTCAGTAGCCAAGACAAAAAGATTGCCTTGTTAACAAACAATCCATAAAATAACCATCTGCTGTATGTACTGTCAAAAGACATGTTCAGTGTTCACTTCCCTGTGTTTCCAGATTGTATTAAGGCTTAAGAAGAATTTGGAGAGGTAGAGAACCATGGTTTTTTTTCATGAAAGTGCAAACAGTTAGGTAAATTTCTGTTTGCCACACTAAGTGCTTAATTCATTGCAATGAATTCCTAAGCCTACGTCATAGAATTTCTTCAGCTTGTATTTGAGATCACTTTTATACTGAGAAAAGAATGTTGTGTCTTGAATTATGTAGGCTACATATCATACTTAGTGATGGTAAGTGAAAAGCTGAACTGTGTAGTAATTGTTGGTGTAAATAATGATTTGGATTTGCCCTTAAAATGTAAATATGCCCACCCAATTACAATTTCATGTTGAAATGTGATGGTAGGGGATGAAGCATTAAGGATGTACAAGAACTTGGAGAGATGGAGGTAGGAAATTAAGTTACATTCGCCCTGAAAAATTGAACTATGGAATGAGTAAAACTATATCATAAGGTAACTGACAAGGGAAAATGAAGAGAAAAAAAATACGATAATTTGAGAAATATCTTCTTAGAGCCCTGACAATAATTTAAAAAGTTTGTCAAGGTCCTTTCCCCTAGTTCACTTAAGGTCATTAATTAATAGGTGTTGTTGAAAGTAAGCAGTGGGAGCTTCCAAAATGAAAATAACAGTGCTGTTTAGTAACTAACATCCTTTAGTTCTGGTCTAACTTCTCTCAGCCCCTAAGCCTGAGGACTTTTTATTTAATCTGTAGTTGACTAATAATTGATGAAATCCACCAGGCAAGGTTGTTTGGAACATTTTCTCCAGTGGATTGTGCCGTTGGACCTATATATCTCCTTTATTATTATTAAAAGTTCCACCAGGTTATCCTGTGCTATGACCCTGTTATTTCCGAGGATGACAGCAGACTGGAAATGAAGGCTATTTTATTGTTTCTCACAGTCCCTCTACCTTATACGTAAACCCTTTGTCCCCACAGACAAAAGCTACTGCTACAGTGCTCAGGTCAGAATCAGAATCAGATAACTCAGATAACGTCAGAGATTCAAACTCTCTCCTTCAGCTTTCAACACTCCAGTTCCGCGCAATGGCTTAGAGCTATGCTGTATTAAACATTCACACGCCAGGCCTGTATAATCCTAATGTCCTCCTACACTGTCACTGTCAGCGTTCAGATATTTCCATCTCTGAAGGGTTTTTGCACTGTATGTGTGTGTGTGTGTTGCTCTGTGTCACATTTCTTCCATTTTTGGCATTTCAGGCTGTCATGACAAACTTTTTACCTCTGTCACCAATGCACAAATTTGCTGACATGGTTGAGATGAAAGAAAGGCATTCGAGTACTGTACCTTCTGAACTGTCATTTTTCTCTCTGGATTTCTGGAGGGGGAAACATAAACACTCCCTAAACTAAGCCTGGAAAGTTGGCCAATTTCTCCACGACTAACCAATAACAGGCTGTATTTTTCTAGTGTTGTGGAGGGCACAGGAGGGCCAGGTAAGGCGGAGCTGCCTCCTTGTCAAGCTGTGGACATGTGCTCCCTTCTCTCCTTATGCTGGAGCAGGATCCTCTGTGTGGACCTCCGCTGTAGAGAGAGGGACGATGTATTGACCCGGCCTCAGCGCTCCAGAGCCTTGCCTTTTCCTGACTGGCTCCAGAATATTTGAAAGAGACAAAGACTCTCCCAGTGGGACATTCCCTGAGCAAAAGGACATGAGAAGCTGCTTCTTCCTAGAAATCCACTACATTAGGATGCACTTGAACGTGTCATGCTCTGCACCAACCTGGCCAGCTTGAAGGAAGAATTTGAGATAATGTTTTTTAACTTGTTCATTCTTTTTCCCCCGTTCTTTGTCAAATGCAACGTGTGCCCTGGCAGGGACTTTTTTTTATAAGTTCTTTTTGGTCCCTAGTGATTTCAGAGCCTCCACCCATCTATAAACAGTGAGGGCTTGGTGGTCCCAGACTGGCAACTCTCTTTCCCTGTCTCTTTTTAGGATGCTAGAGATGGTTCTCTGTTTCTTTTCTCCCACTTTGCCCATTCATTTTTATGCTGTCCCTGTAGTGGAAATGAAGGTGCACATGGTGAAATGTCTTTAAATGTACAAAAGTGAGGGTCACATACAAGGTCGAGGTAACTCTGGGCTGCTCATCTCTGTTGGCTGCATCTGTTCACTGTATTAAGGTTTAACAGGCCATTCCCTGGCATTAGTTTTCGCGTCTATCTTTGTTCACTCTGAAATTCAAACTGGACTGGGATGGAAATATAATACTTGACACATTTCACTGAATTCCTATTCAGTGAAAAGGGCTGAAAAAAAATGACTGAAAAATCTTTTCCTTCTGCCTTTTAATCTCTTTATTCTCAAAATCCTAACTCTTCCACTTTGTGATAAATTGGAACTCTAATCAATCTCTGTTTGTCTTCTCAATTCCTGATGAAAAAAAAATCCATGGAAAGTCATTAGTGTAGCACCTATAATAATGTTAGCTATTATCATTGTTGTTTTGTGTCGTAATTATTAATATTGTTATAACTTTTTGTAGAAATCCTAAATTGGGCTTGTAAATATTCTTAATTCCTGAAGACATGATTGTGTGTTTACACAATGAAAAGTGAATTGTAACAAGGCAATTACGTGCTTGTGCTGAGTAGACCTGCATTTGTAACAAGGAGCTGTGGAAAAGGAGTCTTGAATTTCTGCAAAAATTTGATGGAATATTCTTAGGCTTTTAAAGACATTTTATTCCCTATCTTTTGTCCCTCTAGACTTTGTGGATTTGAACCATTCTATGACGAAAGAGGCGATCAGTTCATGTTCCGGAGAATTCTGAATTGTGAATATTACTTTATCTCCCCCTGGTGGGATGAAGTATCTCTAAATGCCAAGGACTTGGTAAGTGTGATCAAAATAACGTGAAACAAGATGAAATGAAATCCCTCACACTCATTTTTAACCAATTAATGGGCAGTGTCATTTTTTAAATTTGGCCCACTTAATATCTTATTTCTTTATAATTGTAAAGAAATATAATTGTAAATTTATTTTTAATAAAACAATGCAAACTAATGCATTTTCCTTATAGATGATGAAAAATAGATATGTTTGACTTGTCACTAGCTGAATTATCACAAATTACAAATTACTGCAGTATTAATTAATGAGTTTTTACCACCTTGTCAATGGAGAGCCTTGCTTATGAAGATAGCTGTGTTGGGTGAATGCAAATGTAATTTACACAGAAGATTTCTGTTTTAACTTGTCTTGCTATTACCTAGATTTGGTTATACTTTGAATAAAACAACACTGCTTCCTGAAATGTCATTCAAACTTATTAAAATATCCTGATAGTAACAAAAGTCCCATCATGCATCACTGGCATTATAAACAAGTTACACTGTACTAATAGAGCATTTTGTTTGTTTTTCCTGTTTGTTTTACATGGCTTCTCACTTAAGCTAGTATTGAAGTTTGTTTGCATTCAGGAAACACATACCCTCTGGGGAGAAGGCCCACTTCTTCTAAAACAAAGAGGATGCCAACATGAGATTGAAACATTAACCATCAATCCTCTAAAGAAAAACCAAACAGAAATAACTAAAAGCTGACTTTTGAGGCACAGAAGGTTAAATCTTCAAGAGATCTTAGGATTCATCTAGTCTTCCCTTCATTTTAAAGATGGGTGTACTAAAGCCCAGAGAAGTGAAATGACTGTCCAAGGTCACACAGCTTCCCAGCAGAAAGACATTGTTAGGAACTAATGATCCAGGTTTCCAGACCCTTTACTCAATGCTCTTTTCCCTCCAAACATTTCCTCTTTGCCATCTGTGTTCTTTCATGAAATAGATCCCCTATAGGCCACGAATTTTCCAGTGTGACCAGGAAGAAAGGCAGTGCGTTGATGTGTGGATACGTCATCCCAACTCCTCCCTCAAGTCAGGCCCTACACTCCCAAACATCTCTTGAATCCATCCACTTTTTGCCACCTCCATCACAACTGTCCCAATTCAAGCCCCCTTCCTCTCCCACTGGACCACGGCCACAACCTCCTGTCTGGTCTCCCTGTCTCTTCTCGTGCCCTTCTCAAGTACACTCTCCACACAGGATCCAGAGAATTGGTCTTATAAATAAATCACATCATGTCACTCTCCTGCTTTAAGGCTCTTAAGATAAAATCTAAAATCTATAAGGAGATCTATACAACACTGCCTGGTCTGGAGCCTGTCACCCTCTTCTGTGCCACTCATTTCACACCTCTCTCCTTTGATCTGTCTTCGCTGCAGTGCACCAGACTTTCATCAGACCCTCATCAGTGCAGCTCTGGATATGGGCCATTGCTCTTCCTTCTGCTTTCTTTCCTCCTTCCTTCCTCCTTTTTACTCCCCATCATCACACACACACACACACACACACACACACACACACCCCTCTTTGCGTGCGTAACTCATCGTCAGGCCCTAGCTGCCATTTGACATCCTCTGAGTGGCTTGATCTGCTCCCCCTTTGGCAGTCCCTTCTTCCCACAATTGGTTTGTTCCTTCTGCCACCTTGTTCTTTGCCCCCTTAATTAGATTGTAAGCTCTAGGAGAGGATGAAGCATGTGTGCCCAGATCTTAGTACCATATGGGCATATAATACAGTCTCAAATGTTTCTTGAATGAAACAATGAATCAGGAAATAGACCATGTGTTTTTAAAGTCTAACGCACCTGGATTCAAGCGCCCCCTTTCTCAGAACCTAGAGGTGTAACCTTGGGCTTGTTACCTAGCCTCTCTACATTTTGGTTTTCTTAGCTGGGGTGATACTGGTACCTATCTGTAGGTTGTTGGGAGAATTAAGAGATTTTAAATAGGCTTTCACTCCAGCATTTGACTTATTCTTTCAGGTATCCTTGAGGGATTAGCAAGAACTAGAAACTTCATGGTAGAATTATGGGATAATCATAAGGACTATGATACTACCCCTTTTGTTTGCCATTAATCCCCCCAGAAAGAATGACGGATGCACAAATGATTCCGTCTCCATTAAGATGTATTTTAAGTTCTAAATTCTAAGTGATGCAAAGTGCAGCCTAGAATTATTTAGATGCTGGTTCTCCTTCAAAGAACTTCCAGTCCACAGGCAAGCCAGGACCTGTTTCTTTGACCCCTATTGGAAAGCCACCTGCCAGTTTGGGCTCAAAGGTGGCACACACCACTGTCTTCTCAGATTCCCTCAGCTACTCCTACCTGAAGCCATTCTTACCCACAGTGACCTCTGAGGGCTTAAAAACTTTTTTAAAAATGTGTATATAGTGGTACTCCTAGGGAAACAGAATAAGACCTAGAAGTTCACAAGCTAAGGGGCAAGCCCAGATCATCATAAAAATCTCTCTAAGTAGTCTATGGTTCTTTATTATTTCAGGTCAGAAAATTAATTGTTTTGGATCCTAAGAAACGGCTGACAACCTTCCAAGCTCTCCAGCACCCATGGGTCACAGGTAAAGCAGCCAATTTTGTGCACATGGATACTGCCCAAAAGAAGCTCCAAGAATTCAATGCCCGGCGCAAGCTTAAGGTAAGATGGCATATGTTTTGTTTTGTTTTATTAAAAAAAAAAAGATTTCTTTTTTGTCTTGAACTATCAGAGAGAATTCCACCATTCTTCATCTAATACTATTATTCATCTCCTGTGGTAACAGGGAAAATCCTGCTTTGAAATCCCAACAATACTGATATAAAGCCACTTACAGTTTTGTTATCCTCTCATAAGATTAACTGTTAATAAAGGGAAATGTGTTGTATGTTGAGATTTACTCACCAAAAAAATAGATTATTATTGCTTCTCATTTAAAATCAGTCTGAACTACTTGAACAGCATTGTTCAGAAAACTGATATTTATTCAGAAAGTTGTCTTCTTTCTGAATATGTGAAAATTGGGAAATAATTTTTTTAAACTATAATTTGTGATATTGATAAATAATTACCATACTTGGTAAAAATTTTTAAAATTCAAATAATATAGAAAATTATCCACCAAAAATATCTCTTTATTAGAATATACATGGAATAGAGTTTAGATGCTTTTCTCTTACATAATCATGTTTAGGGCTAGCTATAAATGCAGGGCATCTCAGAGGATGGCTGGGGGTCAAAAATAGTGTTCTATTCAGCCATTGCTTACAGGCTGATACAGACTAAATAAACCTGAAGTGTTCCCTGGTCAAATTAATTTGAAATATGCTAGATTAAATAATTTTGACATAACCCAGGATTTATCAAATAAATTAGACCATGGAACTCTTTATCCTCATAATACCTATTAACATCCATGGAACTAGTGTTTCATGAAACAAATACATTGGGAAACACAGTCTAAAATTTTTGAAAACTCATAATAGATGGGGCAAATGCATTTACTCAGGCTTTCAATTGTCCAGATGATTAAATACACTACTTTGAGATTAAAGAGATTTTGCTGTTCATTCTCCAAACAAGTTTTCATTCAACAATCTTGGAATAATATACTTTGAAAGACTGAACAGTAACATATAAAACAAACTCCCTCAGTGCAAAGTTGAGATTGAGCTCTGCTTTAGGATTTTAAGTGAAGGTAACATCTGACCCTTTTCTGTTTCCAATCAGGCAGCAGTGAAGGCCGTGGTGGCCTCTTCCCGGTTGGGAAGCGCCAGCAGCAGCCATGGCAGCGTCCAGGAGAGCCAGAAGGCCAGTCGAGAGCCATCTCCAATCCAAGATGGCAATGAATATGTTAAAGCCATTCCAGAAGGAGAGAAAATTCAAGGAGATAGGGCCCAAATGGCAGTTGAGGGGGCAGAGGCTGAGCTGATGAAGGTGCAGGCCATAGAGGAAGTTAAAGATGCTGATATACATGCTGCCAAGGCCACCAAGATGGTGTCCGAGGCACTAGAGGATGGGATAAAGGTGGCTGACTCAGAAATAGAGGAGGGCCTAGTGGAGGAGAAGCTGAAGACAATGGAGGAAGCAGCAGCCCCCAGAGAAGGGCAAGAAAACCCTGCTCTGGGATTTGGAGCTCAGCAGAATGATGTGATCCTGCCAGAGTACTAAATTGGCTTCCTTCCAATCTGGAAACCAAATCCTGGCATTTTGTGCATTTTGTCCTTCAGCAAGGAAGGTATGGAAGCATGATATGCACTATAGTGATGCTGTTTTTGAGGTGCAAAAAAAAAAAAAATACATATCTATCAGTTGGTAATTCTAACTTCAATGCATGTGACTGATTTATGAAAAAATAGTGTCTTTCATGGTATGTAATGGATACCTAATACCGATGGGTTAAATTTGAAATTGCAAGTAAACATAACATTTAAAAACATACATCTTCAGGGACCAGTAGTACACATTTGAAGTAAATGGTAACAAATTGTTTTTGCTTTGAAAACCTAGCCATCGTACATCCTTTGGATTTCTTCACAAGGCAGTAATTCCTTTGGACTATTGTTCAGCTAATAGTAGGTAGTGGTATAAGACATGTTCCCATGACATGCACAACATTTTAATTTTCATTCATGTGTTCAAACTATTTACAAAGAGATGGTTATAGGTTATAGTTGTATGGTGTGTGCAAAAAAAAAAAATTCCACTTAAAAATTGTAAGAAATTGAAGCATACTTTTTAAGAGCCATGAAACCATATGCCCCTAAAGCTTCTGTGGAAAATGCTTTTTTATTTTCTCCTTATTTATATGCATCATATTACTAATAACCAAAAATGTTCTATCACAAAATTCTGCCATTTTACAATCCTGGAGAAAGTATTTTACAAATTCACACTGAGGAATTTATTCTTCCCTTCACCTGCTCTCTAATAAGATGTCCTTCTGATTGCCTACACTCAGGGTAGAATAAAGAAATTTAGGGAAGGAAAAGAGATAAGTCTGGGACTTAGACCAACAAAGATTGACTCCTTGTCATTTTACAGATAAAATTGAATTTTTTTCATGAGTTTGTACAGCTTTAACGATAGGAACATTTTTATAGATAAACTCTATAATTACCGAGTTTCAAATATTTAGAAAAATCTAACCTACAGGCAGATGCCAAAATGTCTGAATAGAGTGGGAATAATATTCCATTATAAAATCATTCATTATTGACTTTACTAAAGTAAGGAAACATTTTGGTTTATAAAAGTCCTTTTTTCCTTCAACTGATTGTTATCTAGATATACTGCTTATCAAGTAAAGATATTTCTGAAAAGCTAGTATATTTTTTTCTCATACTTGGAATGGAAATGCATTATACAATGTAGTTTTGAAAATTTCCATGTCAAGAAATTTGGGACAACGTAAATGTGTATTTACTTTAAAAACAAAACCAAAAAGAAACAAAGAAAAAACACTGATTTCAAATCAGACTCTTGAAAAGCTGTAACATCAGACCTAATACTTTACATGGTTTTTTTCAAAATATTTTCTTTGATTTTCATATGAACACTTTTCCCTTACAGAAATCACACTAATTCCAGGTATCTGAGATTTATTTCTAGTTGAATTGAAATGAACATTTTTATCAAATTAGTTATGTATCACGTTTTCAGTAGGTTTCCTTAATTTTACAAAAGGATTATTTTCAAAGACCAAAATGATAGACAATAAAAATGACTATCACATAAAAATCCTCATCAAAAAAAGAGATCTTAAATTCTTTTGGCTCTTCCTCAAAACTATTAAATTGGAAAATGAAATTAAATCTCTGATTTCTGGGGGCTATTGGACCTCGGCAGACATTCTGCTTTCCAAGCACAAATCTTTTTTTACTACTATTCTGATGAGAAGAAAACAAGATAGGACTTCTTATCTTCCATAGTTGAGGGGCCTGACAGGTGACCGACATGGAGGAAAAGGCCCTTTACGGCACATCATGTGGGCTCAGAGGAAGATTATTCTTTATTTACCACTGGAGAGTACTTACCTTCCTCTTCCCTGTTTTCTTCCTTCTTCCTCTATTCTCTCTCAGAATTCCCATTTTAGCTTTTATAAAGGGCTCACTATTTTTAACTTTTAAGAATGCCTTCTTCACTAAGCATTAAGATTTCCATTTCAGATTTCAGATTTCCATTTAAAAAGATCAATTGTCTAGTGTACTCTTCCCAATGAGACACTACAGGTATACACAGTAAGTGTCTCTTACATTGTTCCATTTATAAAGGGAAAAGGGAGAAAGAGAGGTAAAGGAGTCTTACTAGATAGTAGCAATTAGTTGGAAGATCAGAACATATGGTCCCTCCCAGCCCACTCCCCTATTGACCCAAGGGCATTTGTTCCATCATTGCAACACTCAGGGCTGACTGCACTGGTTGGCCCTGTGGACTATAGGAACAGCAGTGCAAATGCCAGAGCCAACGTGTGCTTTAGAATGTCCCCATTTACACGAGTACATATGCCTATTCCTTGATGAGTACTCAAGGGTTTGAGGGAATTCTATTTTTTTAACTTGTAAATGGCACTCTCTAAAAATCAATGGGAGTTTTAAATTTTGACTTGTTTGTTAAAGATTAAGTCCCGATAATGCCTAAATAGTGACTAAGTCAGTCATTTCAGTGGAAAACAAGTCAAGACAAACTTTCACAAAAATTAGTCTTTTCAGTCAAAAGATTCAATCTTTGGTTTCATAGAAATACAACCTAATTTAGGACAACTAGGTTAACATTTTGGAAAAAAGAGGAAACATATTGTTTGCCAAAATGGGATGTATTATCTATCTCAAAGATTACTTAGCTAAATAGTGGTAGACTATTGCAGATAAAGCCTTAATTTGACAAACTACTTTATAATGTCACCGCTAATTGACAATATAGTCAGAGCAAAAGAATTAAGGGAATTTCAGCAAAGAACAATAAATTATGTTTTGCGTTTTAGAGCTGACATTTATTATATTACATTATTGATTTTTATTTTCAGATAAGTTCAGATATATAGCATAAACTAGACTATTTTACCACAAAGAAGGATAATCTTGAATTATTTCCTTCATTTAGAAAGTCTAATTGGAATCCCAGTGATTTTTCTCAAGCTTTAAGAACTCGTTTGTCTCATGAATACATAATTAAGATAGAAATTAGAACAATATGGTTGTAGAAGTTATTGTCTAGAACAAGTGCTGTCTAATATAAACATGATGCAAGCCACGTATGTAATTTTAAATTTTCTCTTAGACACGTTAAAAAATAAATCCACAAAAACAGGTGAAATTAACTATTCATTTTAATCCAATATATCCAAACTATTATTCTAATATCTAATAATATGAAAAATTAATGAGATGTTTTGAATTTATTTTTATACTAAGTTTTCAAAATCAGGAGTGAATGTTACACCTTTAGTACATCAAGTGCTCAAGAGCCACACGTGACTAGCGGCTATCGTATTGGAACAGCACTGGTCTAGAGTACTTTTTAGCAAAATGACACATGAATTTCTATGCTAAGATTTGAGCTGCCTCAGTTTTCCACACTGATGAGTAGGAGGCCAAAAAGAAATGTTTCAGAAATGTCATAGGCTGCAATAAGTAAAAACTCTATTGGCCACTTTACTTATTCATGTGCTTCAGAGGAGGAGTGTTTCCCAACTTGACTTTTAGAGAATAACACTTTCCTGGGCACTGCTAATTGTCTGTTGGCCATAGTCCCTCTCATCCCTCTCATTCTTCTCTGGGCCCTTGAATCTTGACTACAGGTTAGAGTCTCCTGAGTACTGCCATGAAGCTAATAGCATTCTTGCATACCAAAATCTACCGTGGGCGAACCATGTGTACCCATTCAAGGATTGCACACAGAATCTTAATAGGATTTTGTAGGCTTGGATTAAGCTGGACACCATCTTTGTGTTGCGAGCAATATTTCCTTCTAGAAATCTACTGAAACATACCAAATTTTGCATGAAGAAGATTGTATGATGAGGATGATGATATCATCCCAGTTACCCCAAAATGAGAATAAAACCATTGACTGGCATTTTTTAGATTTCCTTAGAAGAGTTTAATCAACACTGCCATTATACATGGATTCAAAAGACTTTTGGAATTTTCTTATATACTGCTATTTTAGAATATCCTTAAGGTTCTATAGCCATTTTTAGTGGCAGACTTAAAAAGAAAGGAACGGTTTGCCTTTTACTGTGACCTCAATTACATAGTATTTTAAATATATTTTGTAATTTAGAATGTTTAGCAATTTCTATTTCCAGTTTCACACGCAAAGTAACTGCTGGTGGGTTGCCTACAGACTGAAGATTGAGAGAGAACCATTTTGTTTCATATTTCAGTTCTTATTTCACAGAAGCATCTGGTTGCATTTCAAATTGGAAAAAAAAAGTAAATGCCAGAAAAGGCAAAGGATAAAATCAGTAAATCATTTATTCTGCTTTAGGATTGTTCTTGCAAAGTAAATGTAAAAAAAAAAAAAAAAAAGTCAACAAAGTGAATCAGGTTTTTCTTGATGAAGGTTGACTACACATATAAGAGAGATAAATATACTGAGCAGAGTCGATTACATAATTACAATGCCATTATGTAATTTACTTGTCATTGCAGAGTATTCATGTTAGATGTGCAAAGTTTCCAGACATTTACCTACCTAATAGGACTTGTAATATTCTTGTAATTACCGCCTATTAGGTCATATTCCAATTTCCTTAATGTTCATCACTGATATGTTCCTGATCAGGGTTGTTGATAGCATTTGAGCATTTACTGGTTAAATACTGCTTGATGGTTAAACTCTGTGTGTGTCTTCAGTGCTTTTTTAAACATTTATGCACATGTAATCTCAATATTGGTATTATAATATTCATAACCACATGATAAGCAAAAATGTACTCAATAATTTTCTATAATTTTTTTCCCCGAAATCTTTTTCTTCACCTGGCACAACTCAGGGTGAGTTTCTGACTCTAAATAGGAAAAAAAATTTAAAAGGCCACTGGAGAGATATCAGCCACCCTTCCATGGTAACCAAGTTCAACATTTCCTCTTTCCATATTCTACCTATTAAGAACCAGTTTTTGTCATTATTACTCCTTTCGGATATCACCTGAGATCACATAATATAATCTCAGCTCACAAAGCCTGACTATTTACATACTTATCTTGGAGAGCAATAACAAACTTGACTAATTGATGTTTGCTTGTTTAAAATTCCAATTTTCATAAATGATCTGTGATGTACTCTAGAGGGTTTGATTGCGTGATTTTAACTTCCTTCAAGACTCAGCCTTTTCCCTGTCACCTGGTCCAGAGGACCACCTAGGGCAAGAAGGAAGCCTTGCCAGGAGAGCGAACCATCTGACTCCTTTGCAGGAATCAGACATTGCTCTAGAGAAGACTCTAGGCATCTGACTTGGTTGAGCTCAGATGAGCCAAATGGAAGAAAACCTCTTCCCATGCTCTGATTGAAAGTGATACTGTTTGAATATTGGTATATTGCCATCACTCAGTAATGGAAAATGGGATTCCACCAATCATTTGCTCTTCCCAAAGTCTTGGTTTACTACCACTTGTCCCAAATCAATGTTTTTTTCCATCCCTCTGGCCATCAGGCCACCCTCTAGGACTGTGAGATTCTCTAAAACCCTGGAAGGAGCATCCCAGACTGTCTGGAGAAACGTGGGCCCCTTGGTGACCCAGAATTTAGTTTGAAACTCTAAATAGCAATGCCAAGACTTCAAAATCACACTGTTCTTCTTAATAGCTGTTTTCAGCACATTTTGAAGATTGACCAGGAAAACCCATGGACATGGAATATTTATATCCACGTAATCTTTGCTGTGATTCATTGTGTTAAAAATGACAGATATTTAATCTTCAGTCAGATTAAATAATAATCTTTATTTTCCATTTGAAAGGTTATTTTGAGCTAGTCAAAAACAATAGGCTTCA